AAACAATCATTGCTTGATAAATTAATCAGTATGAAACCAACACTATGCCTAGTTTCTCAGTCTGAGCTCATTAGTTTTAATGCGACCACGCCCACGAGTCCACGCACGCCTTGAATACATTAACACATGAGAGAGAGACATACCTGCATAAAGCTTGGAAGGTGAACTTTCCAACTCATTTTGAAAACAAATGCTGTCTCGCTATGTAATCCATAGAATTCTCCTGGCAGAGCACGCATTACGCCGGCTCTTCCCTTCCGCCATTATTAAAAACAATGACAAAAAAAAAAAAAGAAAGCTGCCTACACGCCCCAAAACAAAGAGGTTAGTTAACTAGGCAGGTTAGGGTAATTAGGTAAGTTATTGTAAATGATGGTTTGCTCTGTAGACTATCGAAAAAAATATACCTTAAATCTAATAATTTTAGATTTAAAGCTAATAATTTTATCGTTAAAATGGCTTTTAAAAAGTTAGTAACTGCTTTTATTCTAGCCAAAATAAAACAAATAAGACTTTCTCTTGAAGAAAAAATATTATCAGACATACTGTGAAAATTTCCTCGCTCTGCTAAGGGGCCAAGTCTGACTTCAACTGTATATAGTCTGCAACCACTTATCTTAATACAACTTAGTAAATCCAACGAATAACTTTTTCAGTGCATGATCTGTATTTATTTGTTTTTAATTAAAGCTAAGCTAAATCCTTCCTCTTTTTTTCTCACTAATACCCTCATTTCAGGCTTTTCACTGCCAGACATGTTGAAATGTGAAACCTCATGGCTTTATTTTTGTTATTTCTCTCTCGCTTTCTCTTCTCTATAAAGGTTTAGAGCGGCTGTGTGGAATCGGCTGGCTTCTCGTCATTAGACTAACTGCTGTTTAACCACCGTCCCATTGGGAACTATTGATCGGGAAGCTCCGATCCGTGTAGATCCTGGCTTCAGCGAGCTGGCCTCAAACACTGGAGCTAATGTCTGAGAGTCACCGTGCTGCATGGCTGATGTCCTGGAGCCTGTACACCTGAGGCCATACTACTGACACTGTGAGCGTGGAAAGGCTGGCAGCGGATCAGCAGAGGCCTAAACGAGCCCTTATTAAAGTCATTTTCCTGACCCGCGTTTCCTGGTGCCTGGGCAATGGACAGGCTCTTAAAAACACGGAGCACTGGAGCCGAGTCAAGCTAATATGCTAGCTGTCAACGGCTCGTTCCGCACACGACCCGGCGCTTTATTTGAATAGGCACGCTGAATAAACAACGAAGGGAACCTCTTTGCATTAATTAGCAATGGAAAGGGAACGATTGAATGCAGAAGTAATAAATGCACTCATATGTCTTCGTAATGAAAAAGGGCCAACACTCAAACGCATAAACTCTCACACACACACACACACACACACACACACACACAAACATTAGTATTGGTGAGGTTTATGAGGACTCTCCATAGATGCAATGTATTTTATACTGTAAAAAAGCATGAATTATATGGCCTTACCCTTAAACACAAACATCACAGGTAACCTTAAAATTCAAAAGACCCTGTTAAGCATGAATTTTAAGCATTTTGAATAGCGAGGACCTAAGGAATGTCCTCATAAAAAACTCAATGTTGTAATATCTACAGTAGGTCATACCCATGTCACTATATCCATTTCTGTCCTTGTAAACCACCCAAGCCAGTACAAACACACACACGCACACACTGATAGTGGTGTTTTATGAGGACTTTTTATATGCAGAATGTATTTTATATGATCAAAACTGCTTTTTTTATGGCCCCACCCCTAAATATAACTCTCACAGCTAACTTGTGGCCTATTTAGTATGAACTTACGTGTTTTGAATTATGTTGGTAAACCACCCAAATCAGTACACACACTCACATGCTAATATTGGGGGTTTATGAGGACTCTCCAAAGCCTTATTGTATTTTATACTGTGAAAAAGCACATTATATATATATATATATATATATATATATATATATATATATATATAAAACGTGTGGCCCATTAAGTATTATTTTTGTGTTTTGAATTACAAGGACCTAAGGAATGTCCTCATAAAAACTTATTTTTTTAAAGTCATAACCATGTCACTATATAATTTTCTGTCCTTGAAAACCACCCAAATCAGCACACACACACATGCACTATGCACTGGTATTAGTGGTATATGAGGACTCTCCATAGGCATTATGTATTTTATACTGTAAAAAAGCATAGTATATGGCCCTCCCTCTAAACTTAACCCTCCCAGCTAACCTGTGGCCCATTAAGTATGATTTTATGTGTTTTGAATTATGAGGACACGAGGCATGTCCGCATAAAAAAAAAAATCTGTGGTGTAATAACTAGGTCATACCCATGTCATTAAATCAATTTCTGACCTTGTAAACCACCCAAAGCAGTACACACACGCACACACTGATATGTGTGGTTTATGAGGACTCTTTATAGGCATAATGTATTTTATATGATCAAAACCGCTTATTTTATAGCACTACCCATAAACTCTACCCTCACAGCTAACTTGTGGCCTGTTTGGTATGAACTTATGTGTTTTGAATTATGAGGACCCAAGGAATGTCCTCATAAAAATACCTAGGTCATACCCATGTCACTATATACATTTCTGTCCTTGTAAACCACCAAAACCAGTAAACACAAAAATGCTCACATACTGATATTGGTGATTTATGAGGACTCTCCATAGGTGTAATGTATTTTATACTGTAAAACAAAAGCCTATTTATGGCCATGCATCCAAATCTAACTCTCACAGGTAAAAGGCCCCATTAAGTATGATTTTTAAGCATTTTGGATTATGAGGATATAATGAATGTCCTCATAAAAACTCATTATTGTAATACCTAGGTCATACCCAGACCACTATATCAATTTCTGTCCTCATAAACCACCCAAATCAATACACACACTCACACGCTGATATTGGTGGTTTATGAGGACTCTCCATAGCCATAATCTATTTTATTCTGTATAGGAGCACAAATTATATGGCCTTACCCCTAAACCCAAACCTCACAGGTAACTTTGAAAGTCTAAAGACCCTGTTAAGCATGAATTTTAAGCATTTAAAATGACGAGGACCTAAGGAATGTCCTCATAAAATGTAATAACTAGGTCATACCCATACCACTTTATTAATTTCTGTCCTCATAAACCACCCGAACCAGCACACACACACACACACACACACACACACACGATGAACTCTTAGCGAAACATTCATTCGAAACAGTTCATTTGGAAAACTGATCACTTCAGTTGAAAGTCAAAACATCAGAATTAAAGCTTGAAATGGCCAATTTCTGCACACCCTCTAAGACAGTAACTCTTTAAAGCTATTGTGCTCCATTCACACATTTGAAGCCATTCCTACATCAAATGTGACAATTTAAGTAGAGTCTCATGATAATAAAAGCACACATCAAGTCCACATGAAATGTCTTTTGTCCTTTTAAAGCGATATGCATAAAACTCCAGCAGCTAGCAGACATTCAGCTGGAAAACTGTGATAAATGTGTCTAAATGTCTGATTACAATTAAACAAATGCAGCCGTCAACAAAATGGGAAATTAATTGTCACCTAAGACTGCAGTTTACAAGGTATTTCTCACATATGCAATGTGAAATCAATGCAAATTCATTCCTTTGCCTATATTGACAGATATATTGACAGGGAAATGCAACACTGCATGTCATATCCCAAACTTCATGCTGCAGATCTATTTATCACGTAATTACTCTTTGTTTGAAAACGGTATTATACTAATTGTATTTTGTTGAAATACTGGCAGACTCACTGAAAATATGTGCCAAAGCCTACATTTTTGCAGAATATAAAATTTGCTCCTGGTACGTTTTATTGCGCATTTCAGATATCAAATCCACAAGAGGGCGCTGTTTAAATTTTTGCAAATCTGAAATAAGTTACTTAGGGTGTGTTTTGTTGTACGTTTCAGATACACGTCCTTCTTGTAGACGTCTAGGAGAAGAAGGAGCTTTTTGTACTGATCAGCTAGCTAAACCCCAGCCTGGTCTCACGAGAAAACGTAGGTATTTTACGTTTTGTCAGTTTAGTGGCTAATTTGTATGAATTCATACGAGTTCAGTCGTACGAAATTGTATGATTTTAAAAGGGAGGCGTGGCAACTTACCCTACCCCTAAACCCAACCGTCACTAAGGAATGAACAAATCGTATTAAATTGTACTAATTAGATCGTACTAATTCCTTCAAATTAGCCTCTAAATCAAAATGTTACGAATTGCCGTGAGATTGTGTCACTAAACCTAACCAATAGTGTTTTTTTAGAAGCAGACGAAAGAGAAATGTGCACTGCCAACACATAATTTACCTTGATTTTACTATGCTTTTTATTCTCTTTTGTTGAAGTGTGCTTCACCGTACTCTAACCAGAGTGCCATGCAAAATAGTGTCCATATGGAAATAAATAGGTTATGCAAACATATTGATTACAAATTACAGACAGCATTAAGTTGTTTTGTGGTGTTTATTTAGTGTTATGCGATAAACTGCATGACAGTAATCCTATATTCAATAATATTTCTCTATAAATATCATTAGTGTAAAAGAGAACCAAAATTGTCATCCTCATACTGACCCCTAGATTTCATTTCTCCTAAAAACTGCAGTGAAACGTGTTACCTCAACTAGAAATGTAGGCTGAAGCACGTACTGTATTTCCAATAATCCTGTATTGATTAAAGTTCACAGATATATTGTAGGTCTGATCTACACTGAAAACGCACAGATCAACATCCGTGTTGTTATATTTTACATATACGCATCTTGCCGATTTCGTTCAGACAATATCAAACAATAATCACACAAACGTATTTTGTGGCAAAGTCCACAAAAGTAGGGAAAGGCCCTTAAAATTGCTTTTGAAGATTGCGTATTTGTGAAGGGTTTTGTTAATCCTCTCTGCAGAAACATAGAGGCGTGTTTTTCTCACCGAAAGTATCCGAGGATGACTGTGGCCACCATAAGTGATCCCAAAGAGATGGAGTAGCCCACTGTGTAGATCAGGTAAAGTCTGTCGAAAACCTCCTGGGGATTAAAACAACAGAGAGTGAGAAACCACAGCTAAAAAACAACAGCATCAGTAACACAACAGCAAATGAGCATAGGGCTTGTGTTATACAATATAGACAGTTAATCTGATTACCTGTTGATTGTTTATTACAGATGACAGTTTTAGGACAATAACAGAATAATATAAATTAAATATAGAAATAATGATTTAACAATATAACATGAAAATATATAACAACATAGCAGCAATTACCTGAACTTTAACATGTACAGGACTTTATCACCTTTATTGCAATTTATTAAATTATATTTCTATTCTATTTATTTTTGATTAATTAGCATTCACTGACAAATATTTGAAAAAATGAATTAGTTAGATTAGTTAATATAAAATAAATAAATAAACAAAATAAATAAATAAATAATGAACAAACAAATAAATAAAATATATATATATATAAATAAATGAACAAATATAAAAAACAAACAAATAAATAAACGATCAAACAAAAACAAACAAACAAACAAATAAATGAATAAATAATAAAACAAATAAATAAACAAACACACCAATAAATAAATGAGCAAATAAATAAATGACCAAACAAATAAATAAATGAACAAATAAAAAAATAAACAAACAAACAAACAAATAAATAAATAAATAAATAAATAAAAGAACAAATAAATAAATAAACAAACAAAAAAACAAACAAACAAATAAACAAATAATAAATATATAATAAACAGACAAACAAACAGATAAATAACGAACAAATAAGAAACTAAATTAATTAATTATTAAATAAATTAATAAATGAACAAATAAATAAATAATAAAAAAGTACAGACAGATAAATAAATAAATAAAAAAAACAAATAAATATATAAACAAAAATTTAAAAATAATTTAAAAAGCAATTAATTAATTAAACAAATAAACGAACAAATAAATTTAATAATAATAATAATAATAATAATAATAATAATAATAATAATAATAATAATAATAAGAAGAAGAAGAAGAAGAAGAAGAAGAAGAAGAATATATTTTTTATTAAATAACTTTTTTTTTTTACATTTTTAAACTAAAACACCCTTTTACAGTACAGATTAACTTCTTTTCCATCACCAGGACTACATCTAAGTCTGGAAGCATTTAATTTTTTTCTTCAACTCCACTCTAAATAATGTTATGAAACAATCCCACAGTTTCCTTCATGTTTACTACTATTTACACCACATCAAAATGCACATCAGCATTCTCTAATTTCTGTTTGGGCTCAAACTCGAAAGCTCCAGCATCTGCATCTTTCGGCGTGTAAACAAACGCAGGGCTGGTAAAGGAATTATGTTTTGAATCTCAGCCTTTTTTCCCCTCCTGTTTATTTAGAAAGTCTGTGATGGAGGTGTCTGCTCACTACCTCATGCGAAAACTGTTTGTCTTGAAGTTCTGAGCGCCGTGCGAAAACTGAGCCCTCGCACAGTCAGCCGAAATGACTTAGATGCATTATAGGAGAGCGATCTGGAGTTTTGGGTGTGGTGCGGTGGCCCAGCAAGAAGGTTGCTGGTTCGAGCCTCAGCTGGGTCAGTTGGTATTTCTGTATGGAGTTTGCATGTTCTCCCCATGTTGGTGTGGGTTTCCTCCAGGTGCTCCGGTTTCCCTCACACTTACAGTAGATGAATTGATTGACTAAAATGTCTGTAGTGCATGAGTGTGAATGAGTCGCGGGAGTTTCCCGGTGATGGGTTGCGACTGGAAGGGCATCCGCAACATATGCTGAATGAGTTGGCGGTTCATTCCGCTGTGGCGACTCCTGGTTAATAAAGGGACTAAGCCAAATGAAAATGAATGAAGGAACGATTTGGAGTTCTGATACAACTGCAGATCTGCCAGATGTTAACATTCAGGATTAGATTTGATGGCAAAAATCTGGCGCTGTGTGTGTGCTGTTCAGTCGCTGCACTCCAAAGCATTTTATTTGCACTGATGATTTTCTAATTAACTCCAGAAATGTCTCTCGGGACTTAATCAGATGTTAACATGGGAAGCAAAAAAGCATGACCTCGAAACACAGATCTCAGTACTCCATCCACAATGCTATACACTGTGAGGCGTGTAGATTAATTAGGCAAATAGATGAAGCTAAAACTGTGGATTGTGAAACAAAAAAAGTGGATTGAACATAAAATAATTAAGTTGCGCCTCTAAAAATCTCAAGAATTGTGTTGTTTCATCTCATACTACACTGAAGAAAGATTCACTGGATTTACAACTTTTTTTTTTTAAGGTAAGCGCTTGCAAATTTATTCATTCACATATTTTCCTTTGGCTTAGTCCCTTATTTATCAGGAGTCGCCACAGCAGAATGAACTGCCAACTATTCCAGCATATGTTTTGTGCCCTTCCAGCCGCAACAAAGTACTGGGAAACACCCATACACACTCATTCATGACACACACACTCATACACTACGGCCAAAATAGATCACCCAATTCACCCATAGCGCATGTGTTTGGGCTGGGGAAACCCACGCCAACAACATGCACACTCCACACAGAAATGCCCAATGCCCGAAACTCGAACCAGCGACCTTCTTGCTGTGAGTGCTAACCACTGAGCCACCCTCAAGTAATCATGATTGACTGAAATAATCACGGTTATGATTTTTACCATAATAAAGCAGGCCTAGAAGACTGTGTGAGTACTGAGTGGATAACACATCGCTATCAATGAAATCTGACGCTCTACCCCGGGGATTATAAGCGATTCATTAGCTGATAGTGTTCAAAAGACTCCCACAAGGAGCTTGTGTGCTTAAATCCTGTCAGATTTCCTGCACACACAAGCTTTCGCCGAACGAGACAGTGTGATAAGCTGCACGACATTTCATCTACACTGGGGAACCAGGGTCACATTCAGTCACCTACAGTTGAAGTCAAAATGACTCGCCTCCTGTGAATAATTTCTTTCTATTTCAATTGTTTCCCAAATGATGTTAAACAGATTCAGGAATTTTTCACAGTATTTCCTATAATGTTTTTTCTTCTGAATAAAGTCTTATTTGTTTTATTTCGGCTAGAATAAAAGCAGTTCTTAATTTTTTAAAAACCATTTTAAAGTCAATATCATTAGCCCCCTTAAGCATTATTAGTTTTGGATTGTCTCCAGAACAAACCACTGTTATACAATGACTTGCCTAATTACCCTAACTTCACCCTAATTACCCTAGTTAAGCCTTTAAATGTCACTTTAAGCTGAATACTAGTGTCTTGAAGAATATCTCGTCTAATATTATGTGCTGTCATCATGGCAAAGAGAAAGAAATCAGTAATTAGAAATGAGTTATTAAAACTATTATGACTAGAAATGTGTTGAAAAAGTCTTCTCTCTTTTAAAAAGAAATTAGGTTGAAAACATATTCAAGAGGGCTAATAATTCTGACTTCAACTGTACATGTTTGACAGTTTTTGTTGAACTCTTTTGATTATGCGGATTGCACTGATTCAATTCGTCTCAGATGTCTGAAGTGGAATGGTTCTTTTTTTTTCACAGAGGGTTCAGTTTGTGTGTGCATTCCTCGTCTAAATGGTAAATAGTTGGGCCCACAGCTCAACTTTTCGCCAGTCTGAATCAAAATGAAAAGCACACGGATGAAAGAAATGAATCTAAACAAAACTAAACAAGCAAAAGGCCTCAGTGTTAACACTGATGACTAACGGCCTGTGTGCGAACAATGCGGTTCGACTCTTCAAGGAACACGGCGGAAAGAAAATGTCATTATTTCCTCTCATGTTTTTTTTCCCAAACTAAATCAGTTAGGAAGACTAATCGGGCAGAATTGCCATTTTAATTAGCCCAGGTTCATTAAAAACATGTAAAATACAATGCTCCGAGTATGTTTTATTCAACCCAGGCTCATTCTGACAATGTAGTCCCGTGGAAGTTTCTGGAGACCGCAAAATACTTCCCAGGAGGTGCGTATTTGTGCAGTTTTAGTTTTCGCAAATTCGCGAGAGGCCGCTGTGCGCGCTTTTTCGCATGAGCGCCGTTCTCATGTCAACCCACAAGAGGCTGCTGTCGAACGACCGTCCGTTGGACTGGCTGAATGACTGACTGGGTGACCAGCCAATCGTCCGACCCACCCTCCTCCTCCTTCCCTAAGTGAAGTTTATTTATAAACAAATTTCGAGAGGATCACGTGCTTATGATTGTTCACAGCTGTTCCAACTTTAGCTAATGACTGATTATCCTATCAGACGATCCGTAACTCACTATAAATAACCAGACTTTTCTCATCTTAATATCTTCGTCTTGAAGAAACCCCCCCACCCAACCCTACTTTCCCTCCTTTCAAACGGGCGTCACGGTGGCCAGCGATTAGCGCTGTTGCCTCACAGCAAGAATGCCCCTGGTTTAATTCCTTTCCAAACCAGACGGCATTTCTGTGCGGAGTGTGCTCGTTCTCCCCGTGGCCGCTTGGGTTTTCCCCGTGTCCTTCGGTTTCCTCCCACAGTTTAAAAACAAGCACTCTAAACAATTAATCCAAATACTTTAGCTAAACTCTGAGTACACCTTTCAGCATCCATATCCGACAATTAGCTACAACAAGCAAGAGAGGGAGTCATCGAGATCTACCTGAGCTCAAACTCCCCTCTCGCCTTGCAACGGGAGGGAGCCCAGGGCTCGAGGATCTTATAAGGGCTCTCTCCCGAGACAGCACGCCAAACTAGCTTTACTATCAATCATCAGCTAAGTGTGAACTCTTGAAAGCAGTTTTACCATTGACCCGCCCGCCCGCTTACTTCCCTAAACTCAACCAACAATTTACAAACAAAAGCCGTCCAGAAAAATAAAATCCCTCGTCTGATTTTTACCACGTTTTGGATTTCACCACATTATCACCCTGTTATTCGCTTGTTCACCTTATTTTTTGAATTCTGTTTTTGTCTAACTTGATTTCTGCAACCGCTCTTCCCTGGATTTGAACCCGATCGTCGTCGTGGTTAGCTCC